CACTCTCTAAGCCACTCTCTTATCCCACTCATCACGTCCCCTCTGTCTCTCCCACCTTTACTCTGCCCCCCCAGCCCAGCCTCTGTGCGTCACCGGCCCCTCTCCCTTCACTGCACGCGTCAGGTTCCGCTACCCACGACGCGCGCACCTCGTTACCATCCCCCCCACTGCCTCCCTCTCCTCTCCCCACCCCCGTAGGGACCCGCCAGGACAAGGTTCGGTGTAGAAGGAATAACGGGTGGCGGGGGGGGGGGGTGCCCGGGAGGGGGGTGCCCACTTGGGGTTGCACCTGGCTGGAGTCGTTGTTGGCTCACCGTGGCCCCCTCGTGCTCCGTTCGGGCCCTCATCAGTGTCCTCGCTGGTTGTCGAGGCTAAACCCGGGGGTCTGTGTTGTTGCAGACAACCGCGGGACTTAACCGGTCGCTCTTCTGACCGCGACGAGGTCGACGAAACGACATTCTGTCAGCGACTCTGCAAGTGGCACGACCGTGGATACGAACTTCCGAGACGTGGACCATGTAACGTGGAACTGCCCCAAAGATGTGTTTAAAACATATATATTTATCCAGGAAAGTGGTGGGACTTCTGTCCGAGAGGGCACAGCCTCAGTGTGTTTGAATCGTTTTTAAAGATGTTTCCAGGCAATTAATGATTGTTCATACCAGTGGGAGGAAACCGGAGCACACGGAGAAAACCCACGGGCGCGAGGGGGCAACGCTCTATCCCCGTACAGATGAAAACAACTGGCGATTAGTCCACTCGCTGTTACTGCCTTCTGTTTGAGCCAGGGTATGACACCTCAACGCCCGCGGGAATAGTGTTTTACAATGTCTGTGCGGTGATCCATCAACCCTCAATGTCTCTACAGCGATGAATTACAGGCGCGCATATCCACCAATTCCCAACTGTGTGAAAGTGGTGGGTGGGTGAGTGAGATATTGGGTGAGTGGAAAAATGAGTTAGTAAGTTCAAGTTTCAAGGTTTATTTTGTTTAACCAAGTGGGAATTCTAAAGAAACCAGGATTAATCTGATTTGCAAAAGAGTGAGTCGGTGTGTGGGTGTATATGCAAATCACAAATTCGCAAAGCAGTTGAAAAGCTCACTCGTTTACATCGGAACCTCTCATGGTTGCTCGACATAAGCCACGCAGAGATAAGTAGAGAGCTCATGGATATTCCGGACACCTCAACATTTTTATATATGCCTAAGAGACACCCAGGATTAGATTAAGTTTGATGGGGGGCTGTTATAGCCCACACCCCCTACCATCTCGTATATGTTGTATATTATATGTTGTATATTATATGTTGTATCTTATATGTTGTATATTATATTCGTTCCCTTGACTGTTTCACCAGCACCCATGCACAATGACAAACGCTCCACGGTTATCCAACTTGATTATTTCGATTACGTTTTTCAAACGCGATTTACGAATTGTTATCCGAGTCTAAAATTAAAACCCAACACAAAAACTGGTTGTGTGTTGGAGAGTAACCCCGCTACAAGATTTACAATTATAATGTAGTATATAGTGTAGTGTATAATGTAGTGTATAGTGTAGTATACTAGTCCAGCACACACCGATTGTGTGTTGGACAGTAACCCCGCTACAACATTTACAATTATAGTGTAGTATATAGTGTAGTATATAGTGTAGTGTATAGTGTAGTAGACTAGTCCAGCACACACCGGTTGTGTGTTGGAGAGTAACCCCGCTACAACATTTACAATTATAGTGTAGTATATAGAGTAGTGTATAGTGTAGTGTAGAGTGTAGTATACTAGTCCAGCACACACCGCTTGTGTGTTGGACAGTAACCCCGCTACAACATTTACAATTATAGTGTAGTATATAGTGTAGTATATAGTGTAGTGTATAGTGTAGTAGACTAGTCCAGCACACACCGGTTGTGTGTTGGAGAGTAACCCCGCTACAACATTTACAATTATAGTGTAGTATATAGTGTAGTATATAGTGTAGTGTAGAGTGTAATAGACTAGTCCAGCACACACCGGTTGTGTGTTGGACAGCAACCCCGCTACAACATTTATAATTCGAGTACCGTCACGTTTCGCCGGTAAGGGGCCGTCCATAAATGACGTCACACACCTAAGGGGGGGGGGGGGGTTGAGAAATGTGACGTCACATCAAAATGCGCAACTTTAAATAAATATAGACAACACGTTCTACTTCATTAAATGGTTGGGCTGTAGGGTCGTTGGGCTGTAGGGTCGTTGGGCTGTAGGGTCGTTGGGCTGTGTATTAGTTGTGGCGCAGGGACGTTCGGAAGTGTCGATGTAGACGTCAGAACGAGAGGGTGTGTGGGGTGTGTGTGTGTTGTGTGTGTGTGTTGTGTGTGTGTTGTGTGTGTGTTGTGTGTCTGCTGTGTGTGTGGGGTGTGTGTGTTGTGTGTGTGTGTTGTGTGTGTGTGGGGTGTGTGTGTGTGTGTTGTGTGTGTGTGTTGTGTGTGTTGTGTGTGTGTTGTGTGTGTGTGTTGTGTGTGTGTGGTGTGTGTGTGTTGTGTGTGTGCTGTGTGTGTGGGGTGTGTGTGTTGTGTGTGTGTTGTGTGTGTGTGGGGTGTGTGTGTGTTGTGTGTGTGTGTTGTGTGTGTGCTGTGTGTGTGGGGTGTGTGTGTTGTGTGTGTGTGTTGTGTGGGGGGTGTGTGTGTGTTGTGTGTGTGTGTTGTGTGTGTGCTTTGTGTGTGGGGTGTGTGTGTTGTGTGTGTGTGTGTTGTGTGTGTGTGGGGTGTGTGTGTTGTGTGTGTGTGTTGTGTGTGTGCTACGTGTGTGTGCTGTGTGTATGGGGTGTGTGCGGGGTGTGTGTGTGGGGTGTGTGTGTGTTGTGTGTGCTGTGTGTGTGTTGTGTGTGTGGGGTGTGTGTGTTGTGTGTGTGGGGTGTGTGTGTGTGGGGTGTGTGTGTGCTGTGTGTTGTGTGTGGGGTGTGTGTGTTATGTGTGTGTGCTATGTGTGTGTGCTATGTGTGTGTGCTATGTGTGTGTGTTGTGTGTGTGTGCTGTGTGTGTGTGCTGTGTGTGTGTGCTGTGTGTGGGGTGTGTGTGGTGTGTGTGGGGTGTGTGTGCTATGTGTGTGTGCTATGTGTGTGGGGTGTGTGTGTGTGCTATGTGTGTGTGTTGTGTGTGTGTGCTATGTGTGTGTGTTGTGTGTGTGGGGTGTGTGTGTGCGTGCTATGTGTGTGTTGTGTGTGTGGGGTGTGTGTGTGCTATGTGTGTGTGTGTTGTGCGTGTGGGGTGTGTGTGTGCTATGTGTGTGGGGTGTGTGCTATGTGTGTGTGTTGTGCGTGTGGGGTGTGTGTGTGCTATGTGTGTGCTGTGTGTGTTGTGTGTGTGTTGTATGTGTGTGATGTGTGTGTTGTGTGTTATGTGTGTATGCGTTGTGTGTGTTGTATGTGCGTTATGTGTGTGATGTGTGTGTGCGTTGTGTGTGTGTTGTGTGTGTGATGTGTGTGTTGTGTGTGTTGTGTGTTATGTGTGTATGCGTTGTGTGTTATTTGTGTATGCGTTGTGTGTGTGTTGTGTGTGCGTTATGTGTGTGTGTGCTGTATGTGTGTTGTGTGTGTGCGGTGTGTATTGTGTGTGCTGTGTGTGTGTGTGATGTGTGTGTGATGTGTGTGCGTCCTGTGTGTGTGTGCTGTGTGTGTGTTGTGTGTGTGCTGTGTGTGTGCTGTGTGTGTGTTGTGTGTACGCGTTGTGTATGTTATGTGTGTTGTGTGTGTATGTGCTGTGTGTGTGCTGTGTGTTTTGTGTGCGAGGCGGGCTGGCTGTTGGATCGAGGCTGGGTGTATGCGGTGGAGGTGTTGTGCAGTAGGCAGGTGTTTGTGTGGTAATTGTGTTGTTGGGAAGGTTGTTTACGCATTTTGAAGGGTGTTCGTGTGGGAGGTGTGGAGTATGCAGGCTGTACGTGTTGTTTGTCTATTCCTGCGTGTGTGTGTGCTGTGTGTGTGTTGTGTGCTGTGTGTGTGTTGTGTGTGTGCTGTGTGTGTGTTGTGTGTATGATGTATATGTGTGTAGTGTGTATGTAGTGTGTGTGTGTACATGATGTATATGTGTGTAGTGTGTATGTAGTGTAGTGTATATATAGTGTATGATGTAGTGTAGTGTAGTGCTATGTAGTGTAATGTAGTGTGTATGTAGTGTATGATGTAGTGTGTATGTAGTGTGTATGTAGTGTATGATGCAGTGTAGTGTATTTGTAGTGTATGATGTAGTGTATGATGTAGTGTAGTGTGTATGTAGTGTATGATGTAGTGTAGTGTATATGTAGTGTATGATGTAGTGTAGTGTATATGTAGTGTATGATGTAGTGGAGTGTGTATGTAGTGTATGATGTAGTGTAGTGTATATGTAGTGTATGATGTAGTGTAGTGTATATGTACTGTATGATGTAGTGTAGTGTGTATGTAGTGTATGATGTAGTGTAGTGTATATGTAGTGTATGATGTAGTGTAGTGTATATGTAGTGTATGATGTAGTGTAGTGTATATGTAGTGTATGATGTAGTGTAGTGTATATGTAGTGTATGATGTAGTGTAGTGTGTATGTAGTGTATGATGTAGTGTAGTGTATATGTAGTGTATGATGTAGTGTAGTGTAGTGTATGATGTAGTGTATGATGTAGTGTAGTGTATATGTAGTGTATATGTAGTGTATGATGTAGTGTATATGTAGTGTATATGTAGTGTATGATGTAGTGTATTTGCAGTGTATGATGTAGTGTATATGTAGTGTATGATGTAGTGTATGATGTAGTGTAAATGTAGTGTATATGTAGTGTATATGTAGTGTATATGTAGTGTATGATGTAGTGTATTTGCAGTGCATGATGTAGTGTAGTGTGTATGATGAATTTTGCGTGCGGTGCATGTCGGGCACCCCGCGCCCCCCCGCGTAGTGGCGGGGCGGGGCTGTGGGCGTGGCTGAGGGCGGGGCTAGTGGGGGGGGGGGGGTGTCACGTGACGTGTTGTTTTGCTCGGCAGACGGCGGGGCCGGGATGAGCGCAGCGGCGGCGACGGCAGCAGCAGCAGCAGCGGTGGCATCAACAACATCAACAACATCATCATCAGCAGTAGCATCAGCAACAGCGGCATCAGCAGCGGCAGCAGCAGCGCGGCCACTCCGCTGAGACGGTACCTCAGAGCCATCGGTTTCTATTTTCTATTTTTTTTTATTTTTAACCGGCGGCGCGCATCGACGAGAAGCGGCGCTAATATTTGTGGTGGTTGTTGTTGTTGTTTACGTGTAAACAGCGCGTGCGGTTGTATCTGCGGGTGGCGGTTGTGTCCATGTGATGTCGTGTCTTGCGCCTATGTGTCCGCGCCTGTCAATGTGTGTATGTTAGTGGTGTGGTGTGCGTGTGTGTTCACTCCGTGTGTGTATTGCCTGTGTGTTGTCTGTGTGCGTGTGTTGCCTGTGTGTGTGTTGCGTGTGTATTGCCTGTGTGTGTATTGCCTGTGTGTGTGTGTTGCCTGTGTGTGTGTATTGCCTCTGTGTGTGTATTGCCTGTGTGTGTTGCCTGTGTGTGTGTGTTGTGTATGTGCCTGTGTGTGTGTTGTGTATGTGCCTGTGTGTGTTGCCTGTGTGTGTGTGTTGTGTATGTGCGTGTGTGTGGAGGGTTAACGCGTGCGTTCATGTCGGCGTGTTTACGTGTGTGTGTGTAAGTCGACGTGTGTGTGTGAATCTGGCAATGTGTGTTGTATGTGCGCGAGTCGTGTGTTGTTTGTGTGTCGGTTTGTAAGCATGTATCAATGTGTGTATCCACGTGTGTACTTTGTATGGGTGTGTGTGTGTGTGTGTTACTGTGTGTATGTGTTACTGTGTGTATGTGTCAATGCGTATCTGTGTACGCGCGTCAATATGTGTCAATATGTTTGTGCGTATGAAATTGTCTGTGTGTAATTGCGTATCATTGTGTATTTGTACTGTATGCGCATGTGTGTGTGTCAATGTGCCTGTCAACATGTGCATGTGTCTATGTACGCGTGTCAATGTATGCGTTTCTATGTGTTTATGTGTGTACGTGTACGTACGCCTATGGGTGTGTTCCTGTGTCCTTGCACCCCCGTGCCATTATTAATGTGTCTGCCTTGTCTGTGTCTACCCAGTATGCTGTTGTGAATGTGTCTGATTTGTCTGTGTATACTCAGTATGCTGTTGTGAATGTGTCTGACTTGTCTGTGTATACTCAGTATGCTGTTGTGAATGTGTCTGACTTGTCTGTGTCTACCCAGTATGCTGTTGTGAATGTGTCTGACTTGTCTGTGTCTACCCAGCATGCTGTTGTGAATGTGTCTGCCTTGTCTGTGTCTACCCAGCATGCTGTTGTGAATATGTCTGACTTGTCTGTCTACCCGTTATGCTGTTGTGAATGTGTCTGACTTGTCTGTGTCTACCCGTTATGCTGTTGTGAATGTGTCTGACTTGTCTGTGTCTACCCAGCATGCTGTTGTGAATGTGTCTGACTTGTCTGTGTCTACCCGTTATGCTGTTGTGAATATGTCTGACTTGTCTGTGTCTACCCAGCATGATGTTGTGAACGTGTCTGACTTGTCTGTGTATACTCAGTATGCTGTTGTGAATGTGTCTGACTTGTCTGTGTCTACCCAGCATGCTGTTGTGAATGTGTCTGACTTGTCTGTGTCTACCCAGCATGCTGTTGTGAATGTGTCTGACTTGTCTGTGTCTACCCAGCATGATGTTGTGAACGTGTCTGATTTGTTTGTGTCTACCCAGCATGCTGTTGTGAATGTGTCTGTCTTGTCTGTGTCTACCCGTTATGCTGTTGTGAATGTGTCTGACTTGTCTGTGTCTACCCAGTATGCTGTTGTGAATGTGTCTGACTTGTCTGTGTCTACCCAGTATGCTGTTGTGATTGTGTCTGACTTGTCTGTGTCTACCCAGTATGCTGTTGTGATTGTGTCTGACTTGTCTGTGTCTACCCAGCATGCTGTTGTGAATGTGTCTGACTTGTCTGTGTCTACCCAGCATGCTGTTGTGAATGTGTCTGACTTGTCTGTGTCTACCCAGCATGATGTTGTGAACGTGTCTGATTTGTCTGTGTCTACCCAGCATGCTGTTGTGAATGTGTCTGTCTTGTCTGTGTCTACCCGTTATGCTGTTGTGAATGTGTCTGACTTGTCTGTGTCTACCCAGTATGCTGTTGTGAATGTGTCTGACTTGTCTGTGTCTAGCCAGTATGCTGTTGTGAATGTGTCTGACTTGTCTGTGTCTACCCAGTATGCTGTTGTGATTGTGTCTGACTTGTCTGTGTCTACCCAGTATGCTGTTGTGAATGTGTCTGACTTGTCTGTGTCTACCCAGCATGATGTTGTGAACGTGTCTGACTTGTCTGTGTCTGCCCAGTATGCTGTTGTGAATGTGTCTGACTTGTCTTTGTCTACCCATTATGCTGTTGTGAATGTGTCTGACTTGTCTGTGTCTACCCATTATGCTGTTGTGAATGTGTCTGACTTGTCTGTGTCTACCCGTTATGCTGTTGTGAATGTGTCTGACTTGTCTGTGTCTACCCAGCATGCTGTTGTGAACGTGTCTGACTTGTCTGTGTCTACCCAGTATGCTGTTGTGAATGTGTCTGACTTGTCTGTGTCTACCCGTTATGCTGTTGTGAATGTGTCTGACTTGTCTGTGTCTACCCAGCATGATGTTGTGAACGTGTCTGACTTGTCTGTGTATACTCAGTATGCTGTTGTGAATGTGTCTGACTTGTCTGTGTATACTCAGTATGCTGTTGTGAATGTGTCTGACTTGTCTGTGTCTACCCAGTATGCTGTTGTGATTGTGTCTGACTTGTCTGTGTCTACCCAGTATGCTGTTGTAAATGTGTCTGACTTGTCTGTGTCTACCCAGCATGCTGTTGTGAACGTGTCTGACTTGTCTGTGTCTACCCAGTATGCTGTTGTGAATGTGTCTGACTTGTCTGTGTCTACCCAGCATGATGTTGTGAATGTGTCTGACTTGTCTGTGTCTACCCAGTGTGCTGTTGTGAATGTGTCCGTGTCCACCCAGTGTGCTTTTAATGCAAAGGTCCGTCCGTGTGTGTGTTCACGTCAGTGTGACTGCCTTGTGTGTATGCGCGCGTGTCTGCGTCTGAGATACCTGCGTGTGTGTTTTTTCCACATCTGCTCAGTCTACGATGTTCTGCTCAACGTTTGATAGACGTCTGCTGTGCCACACTGTGAGATATCTTCTGTTTCTGCTATGCGTGTGTGTTTGCGCGTGCTATGTCTGGTCTCTGCTTGTCAGTTTTGTCCACTCAGCGTATGCGCCTTCTGCAGTGTGCGCTGAAAACCTTATGTAATGAGACGTTCATGTGTCTCCCATGTCTGGTCTGGGTTGTAGCTCATTCGCGTCGTTCCGCTGTCTGTATATCCTCCATACTATTATTAGAATGTGGACCGTGATTTCTGATTTGTGTACGTGTCTGTCCTGTATCTTGCGTATGCATTGTGTGATGTTTAGTCTGTGGCTTTAATGACAGTGCCTGTCGTGCGTGGTATTTGTCTTAGGTGTGTCTGAAATGTCTTATTTCATCTGTGTCTGCAATGTTTGGTCTGTCTCTACCTAAGATGCTTGGTTTATGTCTGTGTCTCAATATGCCCTTGGCCTGTATGTCTGTGATGCTTGGCTTAGTGTTCCTGTGCACGTGTGTATCAGTCTGCCAGTGTTTGTGTGTCTTGAGTCTGCTATGTATGTGATGCATGTTTATGTGAGCAAAAGGCTACATGCATGGGCAATGGGTTTGTGTGCCTATAGGCATGTGTGGCATACAGTGCAATTCCTCTCAATTCGCCTCTATATTATCCCCACTGTTGCTGGAACTGCCTCCCAATCGATGTGCAGACCTTCCCATTATCCGCATTTTTTCATTGCGCTTATTATTCACGCAACAACACAAAAAATGCAAATCAGAGAAGTAACCCAGAGGTCGTGGCAAATGTATCCAAATTATCCACAACCATCGCAGATTTCACTCACCAAAACTGACCCAGAAGTGAGCTCGCAGAGCCACGTTAAAATGTTCTCGTAAATCCGCAAAAAAACACATGGTGTTGAGACCCGCTCTTTCTCAAAACTTCCTTTGGCTCACAGACCGCTCAGCCGATGCAAACATTTCCGCGCACCGCCACTCAGCCTCACCCCCCTCCACCACTACCCCTGGTGACAAAAACGCAATTGCTTCTCTCTAAATGCCAGCAATACAACATGATTTATATTACCGGAACATAAACACGTGGTTTTTGTATTTTACGCAGCTATAAGGTTTATTTTTTTAAGGGGGGGGGGGGGGAAGAATTTATATCTTAAGGCTACGGTAGTTTAAATCAGTGTAATTTACCAAACTTCCTTTTTTTAATTAAACGTCGTAAGTAAAGGAACATAATGAATATCCCAAACAACACACTGCCGTTATTTCGGTAAAGTGACGTAGAATGAGAATAAAAATAATAAATTGATAAAATAAAATAACACAATAATATTCTCACGACGTTTCGGCCACAAGATGAATTCTTGCAGTCACGAAAGCTTTAAATCGAAATTTAACTGCCGTTATTGTCCGGCACAGGCTGCCTTTGCATCACATCCCTTTTTCGCGGACCCCGTGGTGTTCCCGAGGAACCACAAGTCTCCTGAGAACCGCAGGTGCTGGAGGGGAGTGACCTGGCCGGAGTGACTTGTGGGAAGTAACCTGGAGGTCATTTGCACGTTTAGGGCCTGAGACCAGCCTCTGTCGATAGCGCCCCCTGTACGTCGCTGCTAGTGTGTGCAATGCATCGCGAATGTGGCGATGCATGATTATAATATGGGCGGAACGAACGTGTTAGCTGGCAGTATTTGATGATGTATGTTGGAATACGCGTGTTTGAATTTTGCGTGTAATACAGTATGCGTTGTTTTTAATGTAGTTATAGTCGTTTTTATGAATGCGTATGCTTATTTTTTTTGTTAACACGGCTTCCCATTAGCACGGTTTGGCTTCGTACGTTGCGAAAGAAGTTCAACATACTGTGCATACAATGTACTCTGGTGTGTAAGTTAATATATCTGTTTACAGCTGTGTGTGATCCGTTTCTGTAATTGATATGTGTTGTACAGCACCGCATATGTGTGTGTAATGTATGGCTTTTGTGTATACTGTACATGCAAAATGCACGTGTTTGTAATGTATCTGTAAGATACAGTATACGTGATGGTTGTGTTCATTGTATGCATGTGTATGTTTTAGTGTTGTTATGCATCTGTGTGAACGCGTTATGCATCTGTGTTATGTGTCACAGTGCATCTGCATGTTTGTTATGTACGTGTGTCATGTGTTGTAATCTATCCGTGTGTCAGAGTGTTATATATTTGTAAAAGTATGCACGCTACGCGTTGTATCGCTGTTTATAGCCCGCCTAAAGTATGCGTGCAATGTATGTCTGTGCGGTGCATTATGCGATACATCTGCACAACATGCTTTTGGCGTGAGATAAAGGTGCGGCCCTGCAATTGCTCGAGCACGCCGCTGCCGAGTGAAGAGCTTCCGCTCGAGGGAGCTCTTGAGAGCAAACCCTCGGGGATTGGTCCGAACGGTTCCACGCCGGCCGTACATTTTTAAAGTACCCAATCTTTGCCCCACCACAGGCAGCCCTTGCTGATTGTCCAACTGCGGCTGACCCACTTTACGCTGCTGGTTGAGAAAGGAGCGTGTGTCGGATTTTAAGACACTCGCCCCGTTGTTTCAACTGGCACGCCAGGAGAACGGATTGAACCGGCGACCTTTTGATTGCAATTCCCTTGTGATCGTTATTACACGATGGTAGCATAGCGTAACATCGAATTTTAAGCATGTTAAGGGTGACTATATATGGCTGTGTGTCATGGTGACTAAACGGCTGTGTCAGAGTGACTGTGTGTATGTGGGTTACTGCGTCAGAGTGACTTTGTATCTGTGTATGTGGGTGACTGTGTGTCCGAGTGACTATGTGCCTGTGTATCTGGGTGACTCTGTCCACCAGAGTAACTGTGTGTGCGTATCTGGGTGACTATGTCTGTGCCAGAGTCACTCTGCGTCTGTGTATCACGGAACGCATGCATGCGTGTTGAACCTCTTTCGCACCGTACGTAGCCAACCGTGCAAATCGGAGGTGACCGCGTCTGTGTCGTGAGGAAACCTCCGCCGCGTAGGCGCACCGAGCGAGAGTAACACCTTTATGTGCGTGCGTGCGTGCGTGTGTGCGTGCGTGCACCTTCAGAGCCAGCATGCCCAACGTGGCAGAGCCCGCGGCTGAGCGGCCCGCGGCCGTCCTCAAGTGCGGGTACCTGCGCAAGCAGAAGAGCGCGCACCGCCGCTTCTTCGTGCTGCGCGGGCCTGAGCCGGCCAGCCCCGCCGGCCGCCTCGAGTACTACGAGAGCGAGCGCAAGTGGCGGCAGCGCTCGGGCGGGCCCAAGCGCTCCGTGGCGCTGCACACGTGCCTGTGCGTGAGCAGGCGCGCCGACGCGCGCCACCGCTACCTCGTGGCGCTCTACACCAAGGACGAATACTTCGCCGTGGCCGCCGAGAGCGAGCAGGAGCAGGACGCGTGGCACCGCGCCCTCTCCGACCTGCTGGCGCAGGCTCGCGCTTCGCTGCCGCCCCACGTGCCCGGGGACGCCGGGGGGGCGACGAGGCCGCGCGCCGCCGCGGGGGCGGCGAGGGGCGCGGGGGGGGTCGGAGGGGGTGGCGGCGGAGGCGGTGGAACGTCAGGAGGAGGAGGGGGAGCGGGCGGAGCGGAGGAAGAGAAGCTGTGCTCTGACGCTATATACGGGGCCGTCCCCACCGCCTCCTCGCCGCAGGCAGGCACCTTCTCCAGCGAGGTGTGGCAGGTGACCCTGAAGCCTCGCGGACTCGGCCAGAGCAGGAACATGTGCGGGGTGTACCGGCTGTGCCTTTCGGCGCGCACCATCAGCTTCGTGAAGCTGAACTCGGTGACGCCGGACGTGGCCCTGCAGCTCATGAACATCAGGCGGTGCGGCCACTCCGACAACCTCTTCTTCATCGAGCTGGGCCGCTCGGCCGTCACGGGGCCCGGCGAGTTCTGGATGCAGGTGGAGGACTGCGTGGTGGCGCAAAACCTGCACGAGACCATCCTGGAGGCCATGAAGGCGATGGGCGAGTTCCCGGACTTCAGGCCGCGCAGCAAGAGCCACTCCGCGTCGAGCAGCTCCACCAACCCCATCTCGGTGCCGCAGCGGAGGCACATGAAGAGCCTCCCGCCGAGCAAGACGGGGCTGACGCGGCGCTCGCGCACGGAGAGCCTCAACGCCGCCTGCTCGTCTCCCGCGACCAAGGCCGGCCTCGCCGGCATCCGCGTGCGCACGGCCAGCGAGGGCGACCGCGCAGCCTGCAGGCCCTACTCGGTGGCCGGCAGCCCCGTGAGCGTGAGCCCCACGGCGTTCATCGGGGGCTACCCGCACTCCCTGCGCAAGAGCTCCAAGCTGCAGCCGCTGCTCAACGTGACGGGCCGCTCGGTGTCGGTGCCCGCGGCGCCGTCCCCCACGTCGCACGTCACCAGCCCCGTGAGCATGTCGTCCACGAGCAGCGGGCTGGGCTCCACCACGGACACGCTGTACGCGCGCCCCTCCAGCACCTCCGTGTCGGGCTCCTACAGCGACGGCGGGTTCATCTCGTCCGACGAGTACGGTTCCAGCCCCATCGACTTCAAGAACCACTGCAACCGCAGCGCCACGCCCGAGTCCCTGGGCCGCACGCCGCCCGTGAGAGAGGAGCAGGAGCCCGACAATTACATGTCCATGGACCCGGGCTGCGGCTACGCGGGCTCCGCGGGGCGCGCCAAGCGTTCGTCTGTGGAAGAGGGCGATGGCGAGAAGGCGCCTGGGTTGCACTCGAAGCGCGGGTACTCCTCCTGCACCGCGCCGCCGCTGGCGTTCCACCAGAAGCCCTCGCAGGCCGCGGCCGGCTCTCTGGAAGAATACACGCCCATGACGCCCGGCGGCGGCTACCCGGGCCGCATGGCTTACTCGGTGTCGCCCAGGCCGGCCAGCCTGCCGGCGGCACGGGTCACGCGGCACGAGGAGTACGTGGCCCTGGTGACGGCCGGCAAGCTCAAGGACGACGACGGGTACATGCCGATGTCGCCCGGCGTCGCTCAGCTCCCGCCGCCGCAGCTCGGCTGCTGCAACGCTGCCGGGGGCGGGCGTCACGACGACTACGTCCCGATGAGTCCGAAGAGTGTCTCGGCCCCCCAGCAGATAGTGAATCCCAGGCAGAGGACCTCTGCGACGGACGACGGTTACATGATGATGTCTCCCGGTTTGAACGGTGGAAACTTTTCTCCCGACGCGGGCCAGGAGTACGTGGTGAAATGGGCGAACGCTAGCAACCCCGTGGGGTCTTCTGGAAGCGCGGACGACGGGGTGGGCAACATGTCAGGTCATTACATGAACATGTCGCCCGGCGGAGTGATGGGTTCGACGCCGGAGGAGATGTTTGCGCCGGTGATGGCTGGGACTGAGAAAGTAAGCTACCTCTATAACGCACTGCCTCACTCGTGTAAGGCAGCCACGAGAAAGTACAGCGTCGTTCAGCCCTGCGCGCCCGAGAGCGACCCCGCAAATGTGAAAACGAGACAGGAGATCCTGTTCGGCGGAGACAAGTCTTCGTCTTCGAGCAACGATAGTTTGACAAGCGACGGCACGCCCTCCACGTCTGGCTCTGGCATCAGGAGAGCGGCGAAAAAGCAGAGCGGCAGAACTATTTGTCCGAGCAAGCTGCTGCTCAGCCGCATCAAACCTGAGCCCCAGGAGCAGGGCGCCGAGCCTCACCGCGTCGCCGAGCCGGTGAGCCCCGGCGAGTACGTCAACATCCATTTCAGGGCAAAGGTCGACTGCGCCGTGTCGAACTCTGACCCCGCAGACCTCGGCAAATCGTCGCTGAAAAGCACCCCGACTGACTCCCCCACGTGCTACGGGATGAACGGAAGCTGGAGACCAAGCCCCAGAAAGTTCGATTGCGTGGGCCCTGCCAAGCTCCCGGCGGGCGAGCCGGCGTCCCCGAGGTCCGTGCCGGGCCCATTTTCGCCGGAGGATCCCTGCGCAGGCCTCGGCTACCAGCCAGTGCACGTGGGCGGCACGCATCTCTCCGCGCCCCTGTACGAGGCGGAGAGCGACTACACGGAGATGACCTTCCAGGTGGCTCCCCCGCCTTCCGCGTCAAAACCCCTGCCCTCCCCGAAGCCCGAAGCGGCCAGGGCGGTGGGCCTGACGCCCGGGATGAATCGGCTGTCGCTCGTTGAGCACGCGCCCGGCGGGACGCCCACCTTCGCCGTCTCGAACCCGGACGAGGGCGCCAAGGTGATCCGGGCCAACGAGCAGGGCCGGCGGCGCCACAGCTCCGAGACGTTCTCCTCCGTGTCGTCGGCGCCGGCGGCCAAGGCGTCGACGACCCTCGGCTCGCAGTCCTGGTCGCTCCTGGAGGACGCCAAGCACCACGGCTCCTTCGAGAGCGTGTGGGCGTCGGCCTCCTCACCCGGTGGCACGGGCGCGATGGAGCAGGGCCTGTCGACGATGTCGCGCAAGGCTTCGGCCGGCTTCGAGAACGGCCTCAACTACATCGCGTTCCTGGTGTCCGACGACGGCGCGGCCGCGACGGCGGCGGGCGACGAGGGCGGCGGGCGCCGGTCGACGCACGTCAACTGCAGCAACGCAGCCAAGGGGGACTACGGCCCCTACAGCAGCATGGACTTCCCGAGAGCCGCGGCCACCGCCCACGAGAGTAAGTGCCGTCCCGTCGATCCGCACGTCGAATGATTCCACCCCCTCCTCGGTTTCGGGCAGGGATCGATTAAAATGACCTGCCGGAGGAGTCGTCCCTCCGTTGTCGGTCGCCGTCGGTGTGTCGCTTTTTTTGTGAACTCGCAGGGGCAGGCCGGTTTATTTTTTCGTAATTCCTGAGACGTAGAACCCAAGCTCTCTACATAAGCACTCGCGCGCAGCACATTTCCTGTTGCGCCGCCGCTCGCAAACAGTCGGTTGTTTGCTGCAGCCCGGGGGGAGGATCGTTTATAGAGTGTCGGGTTTTCGTTGTCACCAAACGTGCGCTTTGCTTGTAGATGGGGCGCCCTGTACAATCCGAGCTCTCACGGTAGAGTCGCGGATTCCCGGTGCGGTGCAGCGTGCGGAAGCCACGACCTCACACGTGCCCGAGGAACGTGGGGTGATCTTGGTGCCACGGGCCTGTGCAATTGTTTTGAGTGTCCCCGCCGCACCATGCGCCTGTTTGTGTTGAAAGTGTTGCGAGTAGCAGTTCTTGGGGCTGTGTTGGCTCTGCCTGCTATGGCCTCACAAGCGACAATTTGTGGAAATGCCCAGGACCCTGGCAGGGTTTATTTTGCTGTGTTCCAGTTGAAGGGTAGAGAGGATGGTGGTGATGATGGCTTTGTGACCAGTCTGATGTGGTCTAAACGCTGCTATCTGAAAGTGTTTGCGGTGATTTAATCATCACGCTTGTCTTGGTTACCAGCAATAACTTCCATTTTATGGCTTTCTTGCATTGCGTGTATTTACTTACCCCGTAACAAAGCCAGAAACGTGTTTATTTGCCCACCTCTTAAACTGCAGTGGTCTCAGAAAATTTTTACGCATTTATTCTCGTTGTCGCCGCCGTGTACATCAGTGGACCGACGGCGGACATCAATAGGCATGGTCCGTAGGTAGGGAGGCCCATCGCTTTTATTGCGATCGGAAGCGGGGTTGGGGTATGGGTGGGCGGCGGAGGGGTGGGTGAAGTGGAAGTCACTGCGTCGGCAACAGCTGCTTGAAGAGCCGCACTCGCAAATTGACGGGAGGCAAGAGAGAGCGCGGTGACACGGTGATGGTGGGTGTGCCTTCGAGTGGTCCGTGTCAGCTCCTTCCCACCGTGCACAGCCTCGGCCTCCATTCACGCAACCGTGCAACTTGCCGCGTGGGCTCCGACACTTTAACCCCGTCCTGGCCGCGCAGTGGGTCTGAAGCATCCTCTCCTTTTCTGCTGCCCTGGCCGCTGGCGCGTTCCTCTGGCCCGACCGGCTGGCCCGTCCGCTGGCCCGTCCGCGCGCGAGATTCTTTTTTTTTGGCCCGGCGTTTCGACTCGTGGTTTGAGTTTTAAGTTTTCCCATTAATGTCGAACACGTTGAGCAGCACGTGTTGTGCGGTTTAAGGCCTGACGTGGCACGGAATAAAAAAAATGTTGACAAAAAAACTTGGGACGGAGGCATCGGCGGAGTTTGATTTACTTGGGAGAGAGGGGGGGGGTCGCTTTGCCCCTCCCCAACGCCGCCCATGGATGGAGGTACGACTCGGGATGTTTGTGGATTTCATAACAAGAAGTGGTAGGGGCGGTAGGATCGGCGGTGGCGATTGTTGGTGGCACGGCACTCGTGAGATGCCACGGCTCCTGTCTGCCGTGCCCTCCCGCTCGCTCGCTCGCTCTCCCACTGGCCAAAAACAACAGGCACGAAACAAACTCTGCCTTGCCTCCATCGGCATACCTTCCAAAGGTTAAAGGTTTTTAATAGTTCTTTGATCTTTCGAGTGGAAAAGTATGTGGGCAAAGAGAGAGAGAGAAAAAAATCCCCTCTGAGTAAACATGTTTTTGTAAAAGAGCTGGCAAGTTTTTTTTTACTGAACCGCACCACTATTCGGGAAGAGCGTGGTGGTGGCGGCAACACTTTGAAGTTGCCCTGTGAGTCATGGCTTCTCTCTCTCTCCGCAGCCGGCCGGCCGCTGGTTTTTTTTATTGAAGTAGCACCTCCATTGTTTTGCATACCCGGGATTAGTTTCAACATCGTTTTATGAATGAGTCACGCTGTTTGGCCGAGGGCGAGTGAGAGAGAGAGAGAGGAGGGAAGGCATGTGTGTGTCAATGTATGTGTGTGTAATTGTATGTGTGCTTGTACCCCGCTCACGGTCAACACCAGCGACGATTATTTGAACCGGTCCCGGGCCTCCCCTAGGTCGACTCAGCCTCAAATGAGTACCTGGTGCGGTGTGTAAACAAAACATCGCCGCTGGGGAGACAAAGGCAGTCGCACGTGGTGCTGGCCACTCCACCCCCTCGTATGCCACCGTGCCGGCCTTCATAGGTGCTGCTCGCTAACAGCACTTTCCCCAACAGTCTGTGAAGGCTATACGGGGGATCGTTGTATTTGTGTACGTGTGTGTGTGTGCGCGCGCGCGTGTGTGTGCAAGCCTTGAGTGCGGCACAGTGAATGGGCCCTACTCGATGTACAGTGCCGCTCTGCTTTTGCCTAGCGGGAGGAGGAGGGTCGCCCAGACTCGGACAATCCACGCGGTGGATTTCGCAGACGGGGCAGACCAACACGGCCGCGCTGCCGGGTGATGTTGCCCCACCGGCCCATACCAAGTGTCCACATTTATCCATTGGGGGTGTGCGTGGAGGTGGATCGCGTGAATGTAAATGTGACGTGAGACCCGCCACAATGTGCAGTTGCGCACCCCGTGGGTCCGCTCTCCGAACACCAGCGGTGTGCTTCGCTCGTCACGAATTGGGGCTCCGTTTTGTTGACGTGACAAACCTTACTGATTGGCTGCGTCGGGGTGGTGGCGGGTTTAACGACACATTTATGTCCACGCGATCTAACCCAAAACACTCTTATGGATAATATTGATCGCGACAGCCTACATTTAATCTGCTGAGCGCCCATCGATAATTATGAGTACCCCCCTCCCACTTTTTTTTAAGGGGATGCCCTGGTCTAAATGCAGTCCTATAGTTGCAGATATACATTTTCCGAAATATATTTTTTCATATATCATGGTCATCCATGATCAGTCCGCTGCTGGATGAAAGCATCTCCAAGCTGTCGCCATCTCTCACGGTCGCGTGATGAAATCATTTAACTTAGCACATGAACACGAGCGCCAGTGTCTCCTCTTGAATGTTCCATTCCGTAGCTGACCACTCGGCCATCGTTCTTGACAATCGGCCATCGTTCCTTCTAGCAATGTGCCGGCGTCTACTTATCAGAGTGAGAATCTTTATTTGGGCTGACGGAATCCGATGAGCTATGAAAGCTCTTTTTTCACAGACGTCCAGCACATGTATCCCTGCCCAAAGCCCACTCTTCGTCGTTGCAAGTAACGTTCACGACGTCAGGGTGGGTGGCACCTGTGGCTATAGGGCACGACTCAAAGATTGCGAGTTCAACTTCCAGATGGGCTATGCTCCATATTGTATACTTTATGAATTTACCACGGGATTTACCAGGCAGTGCTTGGAATCAGAGAGTCAAGTCCTTTGCAAACTGACTCAGTGGCCCCAACCACAAGCGCCACCCCGACAACCCATTTTACAATGTTCACACATAACACAGGGCCTCAGGTTGATCGCTCGCACTAAAGCCAACTCCATATACTGCCCCAGTGGCCCTTAGAGATTCATTCGGCTTTCTTCAAGTTGAGCTGTAGCCTGCAGGCACGGGATGCCCTATCGTAATTCACCCGACCAAACCATTTTCCGTGTCGCCTTGAAAAACGCTCGAGCCCGAACCCTAACCTGCTTTGCTTGTGACCGTGCGATGAGTTCATGTTTCTCAGCTGTGTGTACGCAGACGGTGTTTTTCTGGGCTCCCACCTACCCCCCCCCCCCCCCCCCCCCCCCCCCCCCCCCCCCCCCCCCCCCCCCGTGCAAGCTAACTTTATTGAAACAAGCTTGTTTGAACTCGTTTGTTGTGGCGTTTGAAAACTCTCGAGATGGAGGGAGCGGCGAACAGGAAATGTATTGACGGCGTACGCACCAAAAGCGGTGGCGCTCGCAGATCACCAGGATTCACGGTCTTCCACTCCAAAGGGCGATATAAAGGGAGGTCGGTGACCTGTGAGAGCCGCGAGTGCGCACCTACGTACAGTTGCTCTGGGTTCACAGAGGGCGGTGTTCTGTTTGATGACGTGGGGGACGTAATGAGGTAAACGGCTTCCGTGACCTCGAGCTTGAAGCAGCAAGCATGGTGGCGGCGTCAACAACAAGGTGTTAGTACCCACGGCTTAAGGAGTCGGATTAAAGTGCCCTTTTTTTATTTTTTGGGATTTTTTTGAGACTCGGTGTTGGTACACGAGGCTCGTCCGCACCAACGCCACTTTTTGAATCGTGAAGTTTCGCTTTCAACTGCTGGGGGACTCGGGGAGAGCCAGCCAGAGTCGTGTCACCAATGCGAGGATTCTTTACGATTCATGGTCGGTGCCAAAAGCTCAGCTGGGCTCAGGCAATCTCAGCATTCCCAGTGTTCACTGCTACCGCTGGAGGCTCAGGCGTCCAAACGAAGGCTTTCTATATTTGCATCGTATCTGAGCGCCCACCTGCACTTCAGTTGACTCAGAATTAAATCTGCATCACTTCTAACTGTCTAACTAACTGGTGCCATTTATCTAGCTGGGTTCTAGTGTATTTGTGTGCCTGTAAAGGGAGACTCACGTAGGCCGGGGTTTCTTTTTTTGGTATTTTATTGGGGGGGGGGGGGCGGGTGGCTGTGAGATATTTCTCATTTGCGATTTGAGCTGTGATGCAGATGCAGGCAATGGTTCGCCATCCCCAACGCTATCGCAGAGTCTTTAAGGCCAAATCACCGGTAGGACAGCGAACTCGCATTCTATTTATTCCCCGTGAGGAAAAAATATATGCAGCAGAATCAAATTATCCTTAGCGCGCAAGTCTAAGGCAGTGGTGGGCAGGCACTGTACCGTTGTTACACTGGGGCACTGCGCCTGATCAGATGTAGC